GGCCATTGCTATTCTTTATATTAATATTTCAATTTTTTATTTTCTGGTTGTAGCTTGTATGTTATTTCCTTGTAATTTCAGTTTTTTGTTTTAACAAAATTGTTATTTTCGGTTAATCTTTTATTTTTTTCAGGGATTTCAAATCACTTTATATTATATTAGACAATGGAAGTCCGAACTGATGAAATACACCACGAAACATTGTCAACCACCTTCAAACAAATTCTTTATCCTACTTATCAAATAATGAAATATAATTTGGAATTTCAATTAAACTATGATTTTCTGTAGCGTGAACTACGCTTTAAACTCAATTTCGATTTAGTCAATTAATTTTTTTATATTATTTCAGTTTGTAACATTTTCATTACTTTTGCTTTCTATTTTTTACGAATTTTTAAATGGAATTGAAGTGAAAACAAAAATAATTCATTTCAAGGACTTCATTTTTGAAAAATATGGCTGGTACTCTTGAGCCACCGATCACGAATATAAATCTGAATGTGACGTTCAGGTTCACACGTAAGAGAAAACTCTATAATTTTTGAAGGTTGTAAGTCTCAGGAATCATTTTTTTCTGCAGAATTTCAAAATTTGGTCGCTCTATTAGAAAACTACCCCTTAGCGAAAAAGTTCCCTATATCTCGAGCTCACAGGAAAGGGGTGGGAAGACTGGACTAGTTGAATATTCAGATAGATAATTGCCTTACTCATTTTTTGCAAATTAAACTGTCATTAGCGCAGCCAAACACAGTATACATGACTTCTTGTGAAAATCATTTGTTTTAATCCACCTCATATCAGAATTCCATTTTTCAGTGAATTCAATAGGTACTGGGAGATCTACAAAACACGTTTTATGAAAAATAACAACCCGTTTTGGAGTAAATGAAGAAAAATGAGTAAATAGCTATGAAACATTCTCATGATTCAAAAATGAAAGAGTGATTGATTTGGAAAAAAAAATATGAAGATAATTTTCAAACGTGATAAGTATTATTTAAAAGAAATTTCCAATTCAGAAATGCCTGTGTATTACTTATATATTTTACTGTAGTATACGCGAGTATAGTGATGAACTTGGGCGCTGGTATTCCAAGGTTGCTGTTGAAATTATATTATTTTTCGAAGGAAACTATATTTGAGTGGTTACAGAAAAATACTCGCCTGTCTCTATATCGCAGCGTGAGGCTGCAAAAATATTCCAATAAAGAATGACCAAAAATTGCAAGATCTATAAAATCAACAGAATTGAAAATGGCCGATCTGCTGGACATCCAAAATTTCACTTTAGGATTCGATCATGAGTGCTCAGAGTTGAAACACTAATAAAGGAAGAGTGGAACTACTGGCTACAATATTATGTTGTTTATCCTACATCGTCCAATGGAATGCTGAAAGCATTAAACTTGTGGCATCTCCATCAAAGGAGTATTAGTATTAACTTTGAAACTTTCAGTTTGTCTACCAATTCAGAGTTTTCATTCATAAAAGGTCTACAAATAAATCAAAATTTCAAAATTTTTACAACGAAAGTATGCAGCATGTAAAACATCGTGACCTCAATCTGGACGTTCAATTGACGTAATTCCAAAAATGTAGGTTATTTCCACCTCTTTTTAGTTGTTGGTTAGAGTCAGTGTTCTCTCTCCAATAGTTTGTTCATATTATGACGTTACTGAATGTAAATGTGTCAATTGTCAGTGACATTCCTTGTAAATTCGTAAATTGTGATAATACATTATAAGTATTTACTGAAATATTATAGTAGTGTATCTCAAATGTTTTATATTTCATTATTGTCATGAAATATTATATATACCTATTCATATATTTATTAGTAAGTTGTATTTTAATTCAATGTAAATCGGTTTTAAGGACCCTAACCTGTTTATATTTTAGTATTTATTACCAATAAAACAATGTGCTGCCAAAACCAACCAGAGGAAACTTATTGTAGACAATTTAGTTGATATCAAAGACTTTAAAAAAATTCTTAGAACCAAAACAAATGTTTTAGTTTGTTTTTATAATTCTTATAAACAATCCCAACATGTCATCAAAATCTTCAAGGAAGTTGGAGATAACATCAAAGGAGAAGGTACTATGGTTCTTATTGATTGCTCAGGGTGAGTTGAAGATTATGAAAATATTTGACATCAAAACAACAAAAAGCTTCTTTCATGCCAATGGTATTTTCTATACAGAGTATCTCAGATTTAAGAGGAATATCTCTATCTTATGTTATTTGATTACACATCATATCACATTGTCTAAATTTGAATATGAAGGATATCCTAACCATCTCCGAATAGAGCACCCTAGAGATTGAAATTGAGTAGTGTTATCAAAGATCATGGTGTGTAGGCTTTCACGGCTGGTGTCTGACATATTCAATGATCCTGCATTTATGAGCCACGTTGTCAGGTCTTCTTACCTTCAATATGTATCATCTGCTACTGTTCAGACATTATCAAAGGTGATGCGGCAAAGGTCGAAATGATCTATCTTGCAGCAATACGCAAACTAAAATGGTGTCAACATACAAATGCATCAGGAAAATTTTCAGTTTGCGAATCACCCCAAGGTAAACTACTTCATCTGAAAATAGTCCTGTTAGGTTTGTGTTTATAACTGGACTATTTTAGTTGACGTGCCACAGCAAGGCATAAACATCATACTAAGAATAGTGTACTGATTGTATAGTTTCAATACTTTCTCTTTTATAAATAATTTCATAATAATTCGAGGAAAAACATCGACAGATGCATTCAGAATAATATTAAATTCTTACATGAACTTGTTTGTGCACAGTAGACAAACATTGATGCTTGAACATTTAACATAGTAATATTGAAACTTTCATAAGTTAATATAAAAAAACGTCAGGTATAAAGAGGTTAACTTCAGCCATAATTTGCCCGATTCCTCTGAATAAGGAAGAAAAACTTTCTTATTAGTCAGTGGGCTATGCTTGAAGACTGGCAGTAAACAAATCTAAAGAAATTAACTTTAAATGTTTGGGCCAGTCTTGAATATACCTATACAGAAGGTTGAATGGACGGACGTCTACCAGAAAACAACTAATCCCCTGGCTAATACCACGAAGGGCGTTTGATTATATCCGACAGGCGTCAGTGCAGGAATCTTCATAGGAGAGTAGTTGTTTTTTTTTTGATAGGCGTCAGTCCATTCAACCTACTTTGTTGGTATATTCAAGACTGGCTTGAACATTTAAAGTTCATTTCTTTAGATTTAAAGAGAATATAAAAATGTCATCATCAAACCAAAATGTAAAAGAGAAAGAAAGGAAGAAAGAAAATAACTGCAATCAAAACTATTTATAAAAATATATAGAACATACCCAAAAGTTTCTATCAGATAGAAACTGGAAATAAATTCTTTTGAAACAACTACTTTCACATGAACATTGAATTACATGTAAAAAAAAGTCCTTTTGAAAAGTACTTCGAAATAAAAATTGAATTTCGTAACTAAAAAATTTATTATGGAATTAAAACAGATATCATTCATAGGGAAGCTATACAATATACTATATGAAAAATATTAATTATATAAAGTGTTACTTACATGAAACATTTTCTTCCTCAATGGTATACTTTGAAGTTTTGGAACAAGAAAATTCTGTGTATGTTCTGCATATCTATAAAGGGTTTTCATTGTAGTTATTTTCTTTTTTCCTCTCTTTGAAAGTTTCCCACAATTCTTGTTTAATGATATGAGAAGTAGAAAGCCATAAAATATCCATTAGTTATTACTGATTAAAAAGAAAAGATTTGTAATACCAGAATTCTTGGGAATTCATTGACTACATATTTCTTAATCCGTCCACATAAACATGGATGACATAAATGTAAAAAAATCTGAAAGTGATGAAATACTTTTAGGGAATCCAAAAAAATGTGTAAAAAACTGAAAATTCCAAATGAACCTTTTGTAATCAAGCACTATAAAGATGGAGATTTCAATAAAGATTATGACAGAAAAATGACCGTCAGTTCTATGACGAATTTCATGAGAGATCCTACAGGAGACATTCCATGGGAAGAAGATACCTCAGCCACTGATGTTGTTCATATATCTGATGCGAACGTAAGTAAACTATAATTTCCACTTCGTATTTTGAGAAAGTTGTACTATTAACCTATTTTGAGTTTATTCAGAAATCAACATTTCTGGCAAAACATCCAGCAAAATAAGCTTGATTGGCGACTGTAAATTTCACAACAAAATAATCTTTTGAATTTGAAAATATTTCTCCGATAATAAATACAGAGACAAATATATTTCAGAATCAGAGACTAGGCTAGTTAAGCAAATTGTTCTGTCAGGTCAAAATTAACCGCAAACTTTTCAACTGCAAAAGGAGTTTTACAGTTTTTAATTTGGGCTTTAGATTTTATCAGTCATGTGGTTTTTGGACTGTTTAGTGTAATGGGACTTCATCAGGCCCATGGACATCAGGTCTATTGTGTATATAACTAGGATTGTTTCATAACTCATTCTTCATAACAGATTCAATATCCCCTGTTTCATAAGGCAACACTTGTGTCTCGTCAATATTATAAGAGTTCCAAATATAGCACACCTAGGGCCTTATTGCAGGATATCTTATAATATAACAAAATGACCATCGATCCTCTTAGAATAGGGCAGTCATCAGTAATACTTCCTGTTACATATTCATTTTCACCATAGTGAGTTATCTAGCAAGATGCAACTATTTTGTTGCGACAAGAACTCAACTTCACTGAACCTAAAGTTTACTACTTCTTACGGTTCAGAACTCAGACCTACATTGTATAATCTTACTATTTATCCAGTTCCGAAAACTTCTTATCGAAAAGCCAATAGTATCAAACAAGGTCACAATGAATTTTCTTTAAGACCTGTTTCATTACACAGTTGCTTCATCAGTTGGACTGATATAGTCTGTACAAAGTCATTCCGAACAGCTAAATGAAAGACTAATGTACCTTGTCTGATAAATTTACTAGTTAATACCATGTAAAACCTCCCACATAAAAATAATGATTAAACAAAAAAATTATACCACGCCGCCCATGCCATACAAAGCAACTGCCGACGTTCGGGTAATTATTTAGTTTTTATGCCGTTCCAATTGACTTCATATATACTATACATCAAACTGTGTATTCAACTGAATAAACAGTTTATTTTACAAAATTAACAGGTTAAAAATAACATTTGAAACACTGAAAGAAATCATGCGAACTCGTTTCCTCTTTTTCTTGAAAGAGAATGTATGCCTCACCACTCACAGACAATTTTGGTGAAATTGATGACATGTGTGAATCATTGTATTCATGCCACGTGCCAGTGTAGAGATGTCTGCAGTATGCTGTGTAATATCTGCTGTAAGTAGACCCACTGTGATTAGAAAGTGCACATGGATTATAACAATAAGGAATAATATTGTCTGCCGCCGCATAATCGCTCATATCTAATCCATCTAGAGGAAATTCGATAGCAACATTCAACTTGCCTCTAAATCTTTCTGTTAGAGAGGATATTTTAAAATTAATTACCAAAATACGGGGAAATGGATTGATGGAGACTTTGTGTGCATTTTCATCTTTTCTTGTAACTCGAACACGTTGGTTTTTCATGCCCATCCAAAGTTTCCTCTCTAGATTGTATATAACAAAACTTTTAATAAGATGAATGATTGATTCTGACCGAACAGGTGGATGTAAAAAAGCAATTAAAATATAATATTATTTCTAGGAAAGCAAGTAATTTATAAATATGTCAGTTATTGACATTTTATGAAAACAAGATCAACAATGATATTTTCATAAAATGGTAATAAATGAAAAAGTTCCATGATAAATTACTTGGTCTGGTTCGTGTGTTGCTAAGGGAAGGTACATGGACTTTGTGTTGTTGTCTTCTTTCTTTTGTATAATGTTATTTTTTATAATTCTATAACCTACTTATATGATAAGGTGTTTGAAAACAATATCGTGTAGACTAATAGCAGATGTTTGCTGTTACAATCCTGCAGTGATTCTGCTTAGTGAATCCAGAACAACAACTGATATCAACGACTTTGAACTGGAAATTAGTAATTATGCACATTTAGATATGATTCAGACTATAGACACACCGGAGGCGTTGTTATTTACATACGAAGGGCAATCCAATTCGTTTATTATGACACATTTATTCACAGAAACAATTATTGGTGTAAGTTTATCAAAAGTACATATTGTGGAATAAAGTGGGTAACAGGCAGTTTTTACCACTCGCCAAGTGCAAGTCATGCTACATTCTTGGATCATCTGGAAAACATTTGTGAAGAAATGTTTTGTAAAAACCTTCACACAGTGTTTTTAATACATATGGTATATCTCAGAAAGTAACAAACTTTACAAGAATTACTAATAACAGTAAGACCTTAATTGATTGTGTTAACTAATTGGGATAGCACTGTAGCAACTGTTTTGAATGAACCTAAACTCACGGACCACCTTTTACTATCTATTAGATATTTTTATAGTGAAAGAGTAAATTACACAAACAAACAAACAAAACAGTTTGGAACTTGACGGAAAGAGATTTATTCAACATTAATCTTAATTTGAAAGATTGTAACTTTTTACTTAACAATACAAGTATGTTGTTAAACCATTTTAAATGAAATTGCACCTTTAAAAACAATTACTTTTTATGAAGAAAATCTGCCTGGGTATGATGGTCAAATTAGAAGGTTGAGTAAAGAGAGAGAGTATGCTTACAAGTTATTTAAATGAAATGCTAATGATGTTATTTGGCAAAATTATAAAAATAAACGTAATGCTGTAGTAAATATTATTAAGGTGAAGAAAAGTCAATTTTATGTTAATCAGATTGACAGCAACAAACATAACCCACGTTTAATGTGGAAAACTTCAAAAAGAATTATTCAATCCAAAACAGTTCACTAATATTTTGCTAATGGTATTCAATTTGAACAAAATAATCAAAAAGTTATCATTAGAGAAAAACAGGAATTGGCTAATTGTTTTAATTCATATTTTGTAAGTTGTATTATAGACATTGTTTCTGATATTGAAGATATTGGATTTACCTATCATATTGACTACGTTGTCAAGAACTGTCCAAGAACTGAAAGTAATTGTATCCAATTTAGCAAATAAAGGATCACAAGTAGATGCACTATCGAGCAAAATTATTGAGATTAGCTTTGAAGTAATTGGACATGTGTGGTGTCATTTTGTGAATACCTTGTTAAAAAAGGTAGTTTTCCAGATGATTTAAAAACTAGTACAGTTACGCCTATCGAAAAAGTTCCTAACACAAAAAATCTGATAAATACCGGCCAATTAAAAACTGTTAGTATCAGTAGTATGTCAGCAACTGTTGGAATATTTTAATAAATAAAAAAATACTCCTCACTTTACTGAATGGAAAGATGAAATGAGTAAAGGTATGTACACTGTAGCAGTATTCTTAGATCTGAAACGTGGGTTAGAAACTGTTAATCGTGAACTATTTATTAAAAAATTAAAAATATATGGCATGAAAGCAAAAGTACTTGATCGGATCATTGATTATCTTACAGAAAGGCAGCAGGTAATCAAAATTAATGAGTTTGTTTCAACAGAAATAAGCGAATTTCAGTGATAAGTGAATTTCAGAGATAGTTGCCGGCCTATTTTTATAGAAAAAAAGATTTTAACCCTCATATCCATTTATATTTTTAAATGTNACAGAATCGCGCAATGAGGATTATTTCGAGATGTGACAGGAGTACCCCTATATCTTTAATGTTAAATGCTCTGGAAAGGTTATCTATAGAAAGTAAACTTACATATTTAACGGTGATATATATTTACATAATATTGCATAAAATGATTGTGGTTATATGTATATTGATGTTAACATCATTATCATTGTTGTATATTATTAGGATGTACCCTATTTGAATAAAAAAAGCATTTCATTTCATATAGATAAGGTGTACGTACACCTAGTGTTTTCTCATCCAGTTTGTACATTAAACAAACAAAATTTTTTTTCACATTTTTGTGAAGAATTTTTTATATCTTTGATTTTGTTCTTACTTTTTTTCCCCAAAAACTCTTCTGGAAATACTCCTTTCCAATAATAGATCCAAATTAATATCATACTATATTATTGTTTTTGTTTATAATAAATGAAAATGATAAGTCTGACATCTACATTTTTCTGTCTCAGAAAATGTCATCAAACATCAAATCATGTTTTTTTCTTTCCAGACCTTAGCCAAATTCATAAAAAGAGAAGTGAGACCAATTTTAGTAATGTTCTATGCTCCCTGGTGCGGATATTGTAAAACACTTAAACCGGAATATGCGGAGGCTGCAAAGGAATTGAAAGATCAAGCTATATTGGCAGCTATAGATGTTAATAGACCTGAAAATACCGTTGTAAGAACCCATTACAATATTACAGGATTCCCTACTATGCTATATTTTGTGTAAGTATATAAGTAAGTTTATAAGTGCATTGCACATCATTTATTGGTCATTTAAAAAATATTTGTGATAATATCAAGCATATAACAGTTTTTCATATGAAATGAATTATTTTTCTTTGAATTGAATTATTAGAATTTACTTGAAATGATTTTCGAATATTTTTGATTGTATGTTTAGAATTTAAAAATTTTGTCGAGAAGGAAATTGACCTCTCTTTGAAAATTAGGAAACGTTTTTGTATTCTTCCATTATCAAATGAATATTGAAGTTACAAACTTACATCTTTCATTAAAAATAGTGCTTATAAATTACATTCAATCAAAAATTTGCAAATACTGGGAAAATAAATTGAGCCTTCAAATGAACATTTCAATGAGTTCATTCATGTGGTCAAGAAATATACTTACCACCTTGACTATGGGAGGTGAATACCTATATATTGCCAAGGTACTATTACTAACCTTTACTTTTGTTTGACAGATATCTCAGCAGCTCTCTGAACAATTGGGTTAATTCTATCTACGGAAAAAATTATAAACAAAACTAGAGATTCAGTGCGGAATTATGCAAGATAATTTATAATTCATATATTTTTCTGGGGACCAAATGTTAAACTAAAGAATATAATATTTTCACTCACATTCTTCATTCCATTATTTCTCTGAGGACTTCTCATAAAAATTTTGCGAAACCATCAAAGAGACAGAAACAAACTTTGTGCAAGAATTTGGCAGACACAGAAATTAGTGCCCAGCAATTACCGAAATGTATTTGGAAATATTCATAAGCACTACGACAAAAGTATCCAACTAGATAGTGGATTAGTAAAGGCAGGAAATTAAAATAAATACTCTGAAAATTATTTGATTGAGTTTGTTTATGATTTTTTAAATATTTTTTTCATTAAATGGTGGTTTATTGTTAAACTGTTGATTTAAAATTGTTTTTTGATACAATGTTTTTTCAGTTGTAAGTTGTCCTGTTCTCTCTCATATTGAAACAGTGGTATAGTAATTTTATTTTNAAAATTATTAGACGGCGTCGAAAGTGATCATTCTTGTCGGGATATTTTCAAAGAATTCAATATTCTAATGTGTATGTGTATTATGTGTCTTATACAAAAATAGTCTCTTAACAATTATTTTATTTGTTTTTCCAAAGATAATGTTACTTATGAAGCATCAAATAGAAATAGTACAAAACTCTTCAATATGTTACTTTGCTCCTTAAAAAGTCTGAATATTTTGTGACTATGTTCTCAAATTATGTAATTGTTAATTGGTTATAATCAATGGAAAAATACTGTTAGTTGATTGAAGTAAATGAAATTATTTGTTTTTTATGTCATCACAACTGCTGTCTTGAATTATACCTTGTGGGTATGGTATACATCAAGTGACTCAGTTCGACTTCAAAACATCTTTACGTTTGACATAATTCAAACAATAGTTTCTTATGTTTTGTATCACCAGATCAAAAATGCATATATGATCATGGGTTCAACCATTACTATTTATTTCCAATCTATTATGTCTGATATAGAAATGTAGGCTTTCACGGCTGGCGTCAATATTTTGGTTGGTTTCCGGGTTTTGCCGTGATCTTTTGTTAAAACCTTTAAACTTTTAACTGCAACTGCGGCAGTCAGCGCGTCAAAAGAGTACTTCGACCACGCCACTGAAGATGACTGTTGCAGTTGAAACATTTGGAGATTATAACCAAAGAAGACCGCGGCAAATCAAATCAAATTTATTCATCACCAAAGTCCATACAAATGTATAAAAGACACATCATATAAAATTATTGGACTAGTCATAACATAACCTACAAGCTACAGCAATACAAATACAACATAAGTTTATATTAAAAGTCAATAAACAATAAAAGTTACAAAATTACAAACATAAAACAAATATATATTGAAAAGAAGTACCATCTGTTCATAAATGAAGGAACAATTGTACAATCACAGAACATAAAAATAACAGTACATTATTGATAGTAATAATATAATATAATAATGCACATACACCTACATCAAAAATTCATCTAAAGAATAAAATACGTTTCCTTCCAAGTATTTGTGAAGAGCGTTCCTGAAACAGTTTAGATTTGACAATTCGTGAGTTGGACCAAACAGTTCCTTAAAACTATTAAAACACCTTATAACTTGATAAATATAACAGTTTTGTCCAATCGTTAGTCTGGAGAAAGGTTGACATACATTTTCACGCTTTCTAGTTGAATATTTGTGAATAGAACTATTTAATAACATTGAAGCCTCTTGTTTTTTAAAGTTTACAGTAATTTGCATTATATAAAGTGAAGGCAGTGTAAGAATTTGTGGCTGTGAAAATAACTGCTTACACCATGGACAATGGAGAAATATTTTAATGATTTTTATCAGATAACTAACATATTTTGCGTTATAAATGTCATAAAAAAGTTTTAGATACATTTACTAGTAGCCCATTATAAAGACACCATTTATGAAATTCATTTGCGGTGATATTTGCCCTCCCTACTGCATTCCATGTGTTAGTTTCGGAGACCAGTATATTTGTATCATCAGCACACATAAATATTTTTTTTGCATTAAGACAGGAGTGAGCTATGTCATTCATAAAGATGATAAATAAAACAGGACCTACGATAGATCCTGATTTGACGTACGATTGTTTTATCGTCCGTATTTGAGTTACACACAAGGCTTGCACTAAGTCTTGTGTCAAATAAAAGGAAAGGCTTGGTATTTTATAACTCAATCCCGTTAAAAGGCGCAATATGATAAAAATAATAAAATGTGAATTTAATAAAAATTGTACTATCAATATAATAATTGAGATGAGACTCAACAGATCCTTTTGGTATACCGATATTGATTGCTCAAGGTTGATTCAATTTGATTCATGACTACTACTTGTTTCCTATCTTTCAAGTATGAAGCAATCCAATTATTTGTCACATCTCTAACTCCAATACGGTACAAATTATCAAGTAAGAGTGTATGATTGATTGTTTCAAATGCTCTACTGAGATAAAAGTATAGGGTTATCGGGCGTTCTTTCTCATTTAATGCAGCGTATATATTATTTATTACTTCTAAAGCCATTTTGATAACTTAATAGGAGCTTCTGGCTTTCTAAAAATGAATTCAACTGAATATTAAATGAGGCATAAAAAATATTTGTGAAAGGTGTCTGAAGACATTCACCAATCAAAACGTTGACGCCATCCGTGAAAGCCTACATTCCTAAAATAGTTTCCCATCATCGGTTTCTACTCATTGATGATATACATGAAACAATTGTATTAATCTTGATTATTGATGATTGATCTTCTGAAGGAATGGTCACATGAAGTATGCTTACGAGGGAGAAAATAAAAAAAATGCAATCGTGTCTTTCATGCAGAATCCTTCTGCACCACCTGTGAAAATAAAGGAACCTGAATGGTCAGATGTAGATAATGAAGTGGTTCATTTAACTTCTACAAGTTTTGACCCAGTGATAAAAGAAGAAGCATCAGTTTTGGTAATGTTCTATGCGCCATGGTGTGGACATTGTAAGAAAATGAAGCCAGAGTATGAAGCTGCTGCGGCTCAAATGAAAAGTGAAGGAGTAAGATATTTTTATATCAGTTATAATATAATAATAAATCAGATTATCAACCACAAAGTGTACAAAAAGAGTGTATAGATAATAGTTCAACAATGAGAGTCATATAAACTGTTTGTGGCTCAGACCATTAAATCATGTTGAAAAAATATCACTACACTACATGCATATCAATAATATATAAAAAAATAACACTGCATATTGAAACATATACAGGGTGCGGTACCGAAAATAAAAGATCGAATGTCTTCAAGACATATTTTTTGTAAAAAAATCAGAATGCAAAGTGCAAAAACATCGTCCCAAGGGGGACATCTTTCCATGATAACCTTAACTGACATAATGAAGAAAAGAGAAATGAAACTTTCTATGTTTTTTACCACTTTTATTTGTAACTAACGTTACTGCAGTTTCGTCCTATATGGACATTTTCTTCGTTATGATTTTCTACCACGTAGTAACGGCTATATCCATCAATTTATTAACTGACATACTTTCCTCCCCGCCCCTTGGCCACTAACCCGATTTAAATAGATAAGGTACTGAGTGTGACACATCATTGAAAAGGTTATTAAAGAAGGAGTTCAGCCATGTGACTATTCACTACCTAGATTTTTATTTTGGCGCCCTATTTCGGGAAAACAACTGTTGGATATTTCAAATTATTGTACTAATTTGTATGATTCATTAAATAATAACAATAATAAAAGAAAGGTTGTATGAATTCAAAAATTGAAAAATCTCAATAATTCCAAACTACTTTTTGCTCAAAATGTTCTTCATTTACTGCCATACATAAGTATGAGTTATTCTCGAAAGGTTGTCTGACTGAATTTCGTATAAAATTACTTTTTCAATATGTCCCACTTAGTACTTTCCCTATTTAAATTGCATGAGTGATAGTGACTAAGGGGGTATTATATTTGAGAATATCATAGAAACATGTATCTGCATTTTTTTCACCACAAATGTATCTTGGAGATATTCAACCTATTTTGTTTGTGGTCTACGACTAGTATATTGTGTAAACATTAACTAATAAAATCAATAGAATATTAATATTCCATTCTTTCATATTGAAATCATTTTGGATAGTTATAAAAACCTGGTTGCATAGCTCTCATTCATTCCTAATTCTACAGTAAATAAAAGGTTATTTATTTAGGTATTGTCGTGTTAACATCATCTAAGAAATTTAACGTTTCTTTGAAACTTTACAGATTCCTGGCATGCTAGCAGCAGTTGATGCTACAAAAGAACAAACTGTAGCATCTAGGTTTTCAGTGAAGGGATACCCAACTATAATGTATTTTTCATATGGTGAACAGAAGTTTGATGTCAACGTTAGGGATGCTCCTAAAATTATTGATTTCATGAAGGATCCAAGAGAACCCCCTCCACCGCCTCCTCCAGAAAAACCTTGGTCAGATGAAGAAAGTGATGTTGTTCATCTTAGTGAGGAAAACTTCAAAACATTTTTGAAGAAGAAAAAGCATGTCCTCGTCATATTTTATGCACCCTGTAAGTTTTTGAATTTTATGTAAGAATTTTAAATTCGACTATTTCACTAACTCATATGAATTATTTTCAATGTGATATTTTATATTTCGTTTGACTTTATTGAACTTATCAATACAACTTTTTCACTGTTCACCATCACTTTCTCTATTGTACTTCATGTTTGAACTAATGATAATATACAGCCAACACAGAAAAGTTTCAAAACTCTTATTGTTGTCTTTCAAGACTATTTCTCAAGATGACTATTGAACAAATACCTGATTATTTACCAGTATTAATCTATTTTCATTTGTTATAATAGGAAATATTTTTTTTTGTCCTTACATAAATTTCATTTACTTTCATTAATTTTGTCAAAAGCTGAAACATTCCAACTTGACTTTCATAATTGATAGTGAACAACACAATTAATTTTTTTTCATAAACTATACCTTATGATTTGATCTTCACAAACTTATTTTCGAAACATCACGACATGTTTCGCTAACACAGTAGTTTTTCTGTAGTGAATAACATACTTGTGTTATTTATGTATGTTATTCACTACAAAAATGGTACTGTGTTAGGGAAACATGTCTTGATAGTTTTGAAGTTTGTGAAGATCAAATCGTAAGGTGTAGTTTATGAAATTACTATGTATCTTCATCAAGTAACGGCAATATTTTTCTTACAAGAATTTATCTAGTTTAATGCAGATCCATTCTGCTATGTTACATGAACTGACTGCATAACTTGACTGCAAATAGTCATGATATCTCCTTTAGTGGCTCAGTGTGTGTCTTTAGTGAGTAACCCCAGAAAAATCTATTGTATAGGGAAACACATGTTGAGTTTTTGTAAATCTGTTTGTTGAAAATCTCAAAATAAAGTGTTTCCTGAACACATTATAGATTTTCATCAAGTATTGGCCGATTCCATCACATAACGAAGTTCATAGTAATTGAAACTCTTGAAAACACAAAAAAGTTGACTTACCTGATGAATAAGTGTTTCCGTGTTGCTTAGTCAATTCGGATGAACGAAATGTCAACCAGATCTTTTTTCTTGATTATGAAAAAATTGTTATTAAACAAATTGTAAAGAATTGAACAAGTTACTATGATACCTGTATTTTTACAGAATATCGCTATCTTACTGGAAATATCCATTTGAACTGTAGCTTATGCTTTTCATTTTACAAAATAATTTGACATGGAACATAATGCTGAAACATGAAAATAATAGTGCTGTAATTTTCTCTAGGGTGCGGACATTGCAAGAGAGCCAAACCGGAATTCACTCAGGCTGCTGCAAGATTCAAAGATGATCCCAAGGTGGAATTTGCCGCTGTAGACTGTACAGCATATCCTGCTGTTTGTAGTGCACATGATGTTAAAGGTTATCCAACACTGAAATATTTCAGTTATTATACTAAGTTCACAAAGCCCTACAGTGGGGGCAGGACGGTGAGTAGACTTAGAATTAAAGCTAGCCAAATTTATCAGCTCCCAGTTTCTATCAAACTATGACAACTAACAACCTTTATTACTTCCAAAAATGATTCACTTTATGAAAAAGAAACGTTACTAATATTTTGGCTAGTGTTATTGGACCACACCTATATCAGTGTGGAAGCTATTTTCCCGGTTTTTTTGGTTGGCTACGATTGAGGTAGAATTGTCGCAGGCATTGAGGCAACACACAATATTTTGGTTGTCTATGAAGCAGATACTACAGAAATGGGTTGGTTCTCATTGTCAACTCATGAAGTTAAATTACAACAAGCTGATATCTCAGTGTAATTGTCACTGACAATTACAACAATAAAAACCATTAAAATAAAATTTAGGAAATGTTAGGAATCACACGTTAAAAGGTAAGACCTCGTTAGTCCTTAGCTGGCACAAGTTTCTCAACTTCTGAGAGTTGTCGTTCGTATGGGGACGACAGCTGATTAACGGAAAAACAGATTTTAAACAGATTTAAATAGAATAGAAAAATGAAAACAAAATTAATTTTGCATCAACATTTGTAATTGAAGTTGTTTATCAATGAATAATTGACAATGACAAAATTTCTCATGGCAGTTTTGTTTTTTGTTGAAAAATTGCCTACAGACTACATCTTATAGCAGATAGATCAAAAACACCTTCCGGTTCTGGTGCAGGTGTTTTCAGTCGCAGACCCAGGACAGAGTTATCTACCTGCCTAGGAACTTATGCGACTGTATTTCAAGCGGAAATTTCCGCTATTGAATTGTGTGCGGAGAGATTGGATAAATCCAACCTCACTCACAAGTCAATAAAAATATTCTTGGACAGTCAAGCGGCGTTGGAAGCTCTTGGCTCCCACCGAGCAACGTCTAAATTGGTAGCAAACTGCCAAAAAAGACTCTCCTCAATAGGAAGACTAAACAGATTGTCTCTGGTCTGGATTCCTGGCCATACTGGCCTGGAAGGCAATGAAGCTGCTGACTCTCTTGCA